TACCGACAACCACAATCAACCTTCATTTGTCCCCGGCCACCACCGGAAGGCGTTGATTGCAATCTGCCGAACCTTCTGCCAGATGTAAAGAGCTCGGTGCTTTTAATCGTACTCATCACCAAATCAGTCAATTATTGCTCAGTATGCGTGAACTCGTTTCCCAAGTAACTTTTATACTCGAACCTGCTTCATCTGCAACACTAGTGAGTCGCATAAGCCTCACTGCACACTGTAATTCTGCGTCTCCTGCTACCACTTGCCCGTATTACATTTTTACCCCACTACACGTATGATCCGACGTACCTTCTCCCGTATTATTCGCATGGACTTCCAAATACTCTATGGTGCCTACGTCAGACCGCTCCTGGAGTACGCCAACGAAGTTGTCTACTCAGGACGTACGAAAGACGTTACCCTCGTTGAGCGTGTCCAGCGGGCCGCCACGAGAATTGTTGCCGGCCTCAAGTCCGTGGACTACGAAATGCGTCTCGCGATGCTTGATCTCTTTCCCCTGGAGTACCGTCGCCTCCGAGGGGACCTAATTCTTACCTACGCCTTGTTTGAACAAAGCTTGGCAAACAGGTTTTTTGCCGTTGACCCAGCAAACACCCGGCGGGAACATAGTATGAAAATCTTCAAGCTCAGGGCACACACATCCGTTAGACAAAACTTTTTTTCATTTCGTGTAGTAGCTGCGTGGAATGACCTTCCTCCGACGGTTGTACATGCTCCTTCTCGAACCCAATTTAAAGCACTATTAGACATTTATTTATGCGAATCCTCGCGCTGGCGAGCATACTGCCCCGCGCTGAGAACATAAAGAGCAGTGCTACACCCTTTTTTCACTTGTGCCTTTCAGGTGAACGACAGCCACTGACCGACAAGAACAAAACCGACCCGGGGAACTTTGGCATAAGCCTCGATCCTGTGTATCAATCCGTGAAACCGTGAAAAACCACGGTTGCAGAGAAATTTCGCGCAAAGATGTCGACAGCCGTTAAAATACAAATTCCACGTCCACAGTGGACTCTGAGTTCGTTTAAGCAGCTTATAATAAAGCTGCACCCGTATGTGCAGATTTTATTGGCCGGAATATATACCATCAAGTACTCAAACCTTATGTTGAAACGTTTTGCTACAACCTACGGTTTAAGAGAAATTTTGGGTTTGCGTCTAAGGCCCGACGACAGGCGCCATCCTACTCTAGTGTATAAAAACAAACCGCCCTCAGGTCACACCAACAATCCCCTGGATTACTCCAGTTCGCATTTAAAATTGAAATTTACCAAAATCACGAATAAATATAAATTAAAACAAACCAGAGTAGATGAACAGTGGGTTATGGACCACTTCGGCTCGAGTTATATTCCGAGAAATGCTGCTGCTACACGCGTTGGTTATGGAGAAAACTGCATACACCGGATAAGGGTCGGTAATCTTGTATAGATCAAATAAACCTACCGAAGCTATTCACCAATCAACGACTGCAATCCTCCTTGGGTTCGTTGCGGGGGCGAGTTTCTGTTCTTTATGGTTTTGCGTGGTGCTTTCCGAGCTATCCGGCGGAACTTCTACACTTTTCTTGCCCCTACATTCGTTGCCTATATTATTTACAAGGATTACAGTAGGACACAACGCGAAAAAGTATTTAACCAAAATTTATTAATCACGTTTGTAGGCCATAAAAGCTAATGGGTCTTCCTGAGTGGGCTTTGCACAACTGGAAAGGCCGGGTTGCGTCATTTGTTTTGGGAGGAGCCATAGCCCTTGCCGGCATCCAGATTATCCAATATGCGTTCCCTTATACAAATACGAAGCTGAAAAATAAGAGTGCACTCTACGGTGGCCGTGCAGTTCCTGAAGGCTCGGATCCTTGGGAGTACTAGTTTACTGTACAATGCCGAAATAGAATAAATAGTTGATCCATACCTCGTTTTTTGTTCCTTTTGAATGTTCACAACCGATAACTGCTAATTTCATTTTAGTATCATGGAAACCGTCGCTTCCAGATCCGTCAGACAGGACCTCGATGATCAGCTCAAAAATGTCGAATTCGAAACATCTGAAGATGTGGACGTTATCCCAAGTTTTGAAGCGATGGGCTTAAGAGATGATCTGCTCCGAGGAATTTATGCATATGGCTTTGAGAGGCCTTCTGCCATTCAGCAACGCGCTATCAAACAAATTGTAAAGGGTCGCGACGTGATCGCACAGTTAGTTTCCTAATTCATATCGTTAGTTTTTTTTTAAAGAGCTCAATCTGGGACTGGGAAAACGGCAACCCTTGGAATGGCAATATTGCAGATGTTGGATACTCAACTGCGTGAAACCCAAGCACTTGTCCTATCACCGACACGCGAGTTAGCTTCTCAAATCCAGAAGGTCATCCTTGCTCTTGGCGACTACATGAATGTTCACTGTCACGCTTGCTACGGTGGAACCAACGTTGGCGAAGATATCAGAAAGCTTGACTATGGTCAGCACGTAGTTTCGGGCACTCCTGGACGAGTTTTTGGTTAGTGAACTTCCTATTTTTTCATGCTTTATTTATGATGCAGTACACGTCCCTGATATTGACAGCTTGGTGAAAATCATCCTCCGGATGTTTTATGAGCTCCACATTCTATGCAACCCCAAGGCGGGTACAGACTGAACTAACAATGACGTATGGTAAATCTTTAGGGATGTACATGCTTGTCATATGTTGGACGCATATAATTTAGAATACAAAACTCAGGTAAATTTCTACCCTGCGCCACGTAACTGCCCGACCAGTAATTGTTAGTGGGCTGATGTCTAGGCTCTACCCTTCAGTTTCCAACTTGCACGTGTGATCCTGAGGGCGGTCTTGCGAAAATCACTCAAACAGCTGCAGCAAAATTGCGCCAGTCAGAGCTTTGTTACCGTCATCCGTAGCCCGGTCTGATATTCCTTTTGCTTATCCCCTTCGGTGACAATTGTTGCCACTCTGAAAACTTATCATTACCGGTATTCCGCATTTCCGTAGTGCCTGATACAGCGTGACCATATCCATAGGAGTAAGACGGTAGTCGAGGACAAGCAAGTTGTGGACCTATGGGCCAGACTTCTGCGTTGAAGCTTCGAAATCGTCCCGCTTTGATATTGTTCGCCTTTTCTGCGAATTACGCCGCTGCTCCATACCCTATGAGAGGTCGGATAAGCGCAGCAAGTAATCCATACGTTCTTGAACACGCGGGGTCCATGACATTCTTCCACCCTTCCTCACCGCCTTTTTTTATGCTTGGGAGTTCCAATACTTATTTCATAGTTATCAGCAAGTTGATCACGTACGGAATACGATGTCTCCCTAAGTGTCCTTTCAGTGGTTACATTCAATCAAGCTCGTCGGTACTTTGATTCATGCTACCAAACCTTATATCCTTTCCACAGTACTCAGAACGGATACCGTGACCTCGTCTGTCAGTGTGTCCCAACATGCCGTTAAGTCCTCCATGAATATAGTTCTCCTTCCATCATTGTCATCATTGTCAGTTGTAATCGCGTACTCGTCGTACAATGGTTGTAGCTGCCGCAGTTTCGTTCACCGATGATTTGGGTAGGTGGGGTAGGTAGCTGCGCATTGCAGGCGGGAGATGTTAAATTGGTGCATAAATCCAGGACTGTCAGTGGGCTGTCAGGTGGGGGGATTGGGAAGGGAGCTATGCATTGAAGGCAATGGCTTGGATGCATGAGCGCGATTGAGGGCGCGACAGAGCCATGTCTGACAATGTCTCTAACCATTGATGTGACCCGTCTCGGGGTCCCTATCCATGAAGACGGCAATGACAAGCGCAGCTGAGTTTGCCGGTAATGGCTTTTGTACTTCGCTGCCAAGTCATCGTTTGACTGCCTCTGGCTCTCTTTCACCCTTCACGTGACTGCACGAAAAGAGCCCTTAGAGGAAGTCGCTCGACTGGCATACGCAGCACGTGGCCAAGCCAGTACCACCTATACAGTAAGATCAATTCGTCTATCGAGAGTGAGTTATTTCTTCCGAATACCATTCGACGTACTTAAGGATTGCTGATCCGGTGTTCCCACCAACCTCGGGCAATACTCCAAAGACATCGGTGCTCAAACACTGAGTCTTTTGACGTCCTCAGCGCACAGCGGCCGGGTTTGTGATCCGTATGGATCACACCATATGTATGTAGCGCACCACAGCGTTATAAACTTTACCCTTGACGGATAAGCTGATGTCACACCTACGCTACAGATGACGCAGTTTCAAGAAAGTTGCTCTGGTCCTCCCAATCCGGATGGAACTGTCTTTTGCGAGACTACCGGGACTGATGCAGCTGCCCAGGCAGACAGACTTTCTATTACCTCAGTCGGTTCATCCGCAAGCATGAGGCTAGGGTTCGAGCCCACCCAGTCTTGCAGTAGCACCCTACACTTCGCTAGTGTGGTGTGCATGCCAAACCTGTCACGAAGAGACTGGACCTTACCGTGGTGTGACGGTTTGCGCACCTCAGCGATCCATTGAGCTATACTGGAGAGTGTCCCGCGACACTCACAGAGTCTCTCATACCAGGTTGGTCAATGGTTAGAGGTCTGACGAACACAGTCTCCTGGCCCTCCAGGTTGGGGGTTGGAACATGTGGCGACTTGTTCCGTAGAAACGGTAATGCATTTGCATTTCCCGCCAAACACCGCTGCC